CCTTTGGGCACTCCAGCCCCTGCTCAGACCTTAGGCTCCCGAGGGAGCTCCTGAGGTGTCTTCCTGAAAACCTGTGTGTTGCTGAAGGGACCCAAGCAGGAGGGAACCAGGGTCCCCTGCATGGGACAGCAGTGAGCTCTGCTGGCTGCACAGCTCATTGGGTGGCTCAGCTATCACCCCCTTTCCCAAAAGAGGATGAAGAGAAAGAGGAGGAGGAAGAGAAGGAAGAGGGGATAAGGATAAAGAAAGAGGGAAGGAGGAGGAGATACGGGGAGCAGGAGGAAGGTGAGAGGAAGAGGAGGAGGAGGATGGGGAGGAGGAGGGAATAGGAGGGAGGATTTCCTTGGATCCGGAGCAAAGGGCTGAGGGACTGACTGAGGCAAAGGGCTGCTGCTCTCTGCAATGGGATGAAGTTATTCCCCAGACATCCCTGCTCACCTTGCACCTCCCAGCTCACCTGTTCCTTCCTCTAAGCACATCCCCACTCCCCCTGTGGCTCCCCCAGCCCCGGGGTCCCCACTGCATCAATTCTGACCTCACCAGGCTGTGACTGTCTCTGCTCCCTGTCCCCTGTCTGCCTGGCCAGTGCTCCCCCAGGGTCGGCCTTACCTCAACCCAGCCCCCAGGGCACTTGCTCAGCCGATGGGAGACAGGTGCCTGGGGTGCAGGAGCAGCGACTGGCTCAGCCAGCAGAGGGACCAGCCTGAGCAGAAGCCGCAGAGCCTGTCCAGTCCCAGGGAGAGGAGGGAAAGTGTGGCCAGTGAAGTACCAGCCCTGAGAGAGCGGAGCTGGGGTGAGAGGAGCCCAGAGGTTTCCTCCGTCACCAAAGCTTTCCCTTCCCTTTCTCCTCCCATCCTCAGGGAGGCCTCATCTTACAGAATAGCCACTGTGCGGGCTGTGTCCACTGTGGGCTACACCAGGCTATTCTGAGCACTTGTGTGAACACACAAATCTTCTTGGCCACCCCATGTGTTCTCACTTGGGCAGTCATAACAAAGCACCACAGACCAGGCGGGTTAAACAACAGAAATTCATTTTCTCACAATTCTGGAGTCTGGAAGTCTGAGTTGAAGGCGTCAGCAGGACTGTTTCCTTTTGAGGCCTCTCTGCGTAGCTTACAGATGGTCGTCTTCTGTCACGTCCTGCGTGGCAAGGTGCGGCGCAGAGTTAAAGAGCACAAGAGACAGAGATGAGGCTAAAGCGGGACCAGGGGGCATCAGCCTCGTGGACTGAGCCCCGAATCGGTCATCGCATGGCTTTTATTGAGAAAATTTCAAGGAAGTGAAACAGAGTTACTCAAAGATCCATGTGTCACGTGCCTTAAGTCTGTTTTCCATTAACCAGCTCCCATTGTATTCCAACTTGCATATCCCCTAGGACAGTGTTACTGTACTGTGTGCTATTCAATTAAGGGAGATGACTGATATCATTCCACCCGGTAGGTCGTTCAGAGACACTTCCTCAGGACCTTTTGGGTCAGGGGTTAGTGCGGGGGTGGGGGTGGGGCGGTCGTGGACGTAGCTGTAAGGAAACAGCCTTCCCTATGTCCTCATATGGTCTCCCCTCTGTGCGTGTCTGTGTCCTAATCTCTTCTTACGAGGACACCAGTTCTGTTGGATTAGACCCCACCCTACTGACTTCATTTACCTTAATCTCCTATTTGAAGACCCTGTCTCCAAGTTCAGCCCATAACACCCCATGGGCATAGGCACCCGACTATGCACAGAGTGATTAAGCCGCTTTCCAAGGCAGCACAGCAAGCGTCAAGGAGCCTGCTGGAGTCCCTGGGTGTCTAGCTGCAGAGTGCCCACTTCCCGCCCCTTATTGGAGGCCTCCAGATGAAGACCCACCAGGGCGGGACTGACTACCAGGAGCTCTCACAGAGGACAGGACCCAGAATGATCACTTGGGAAGGGACAGGGCCAGACAGTTGATGTGCAAGACAGCCACACTGGAGTCTACAGAAAATGCCCACCCCGATCCTTGCAGAGGATTTTCCCACAGACGGGGTTGAGAATTGTGATGCCTCCGTGTGACACATGAGGAAACTGAGGCTTGGAGGGGAGAAAAGCCAGGCTTACCTGGTTCCAAAGCCAGGCTTCCCCCCAGCATCACGCTGTGCTGGCATCTTTGCTCTGAATGCCTGGCTCTCAGTCCTTTGCAGTCAACATCAGGTATGCCTGGCCGGTGCTGCGAGCAGGCCAGGAAGCCCAGGACCACCTGAGGGGCATGTCCTGGTGACCTGCACAGAGTCCTGGCGCCATCCGTCCTGGCCCTTCCTACCTGGGAACTCACTGTGTGGCTGCACAGAGCCACCAGGTTCACATGAGCCCCTGCCTGCACTCCCACCATCATACCCTATGCTGCCAGAAGCCTGAGTGGCTGGGGGTTTCTCTGCCTCCTGAGGTGTCAGGAATATTCTCAAGAACAGAGGCGGAGGCTGCCCTTCCACTCTAAGCCCTTAAGGAGTAGATGCTCTGATTGGTCTGTCGCATTCATTCATTCATCTGTTCATTCATCACCACCTCTCTGAGCCAGGAGGGACCTATCCTATCTTTTATGCCTTGTGGCTCCCCTGCCAGCCCCTCCTGAGTCTCACACTCACAGGACTGACCCTTCATTCCATATAGAAGCTGTGACTGGCCCAGCAGTGCCTGCTTTCCAGGACAAGCAGTGGAGGAGGAACAAGCCTAGGACAGGGATAGAGGAGTGGCAGGTCGAGTCCTCCTTGCATGTGGGGCCCTCGTCGGAACCCCATCTGGAAAGTGGAAGTGCTTCTTCTGTAAGGGCCGGGCCAGCTCCACTGTGTGCAGGAGCCCAGCCACTCCTCCGTACTCATTGCCTTTTTTACTTCACTTGGGCTTCCTGTTGTGGCTTCCTCTCAGTCCTGTGACACCAAGGCCCCATGACGCTGACCCCAAAGATGCTGCTGTTGCTGCTGCTGCCCCTGCTGTAGACAGATCAGGGGGCCAAGGGGAAAAATGGTTTTGAGGCAGAGGCTGAGCTAAGTCTGCAAGTTTCCTGGCTCCGAATCCAGGATACCGGCTGACAGTGCAGGAGTCTGTGTCTGTGCCAGAGGGCCTGTGCATCAGCGTGCCCTGCAACTTCTCCTACCCCAGGGAAGGCTGGAACAACTTTACCCCAGCTTACGGCTATTGGTTCCAGAAAGGGGCCAAAACAGACTAAGATGCTCTAGTGGCTACAAACAAGCCAGATCACAAAGTGCAGGAGGAGACGCAGAGCCGATTCCACCTCCTCAGGGATCCTCGGACCTACAACTGCTCCCTGGACATCAGAGATGCACAGAGAACGGACACAGGGACATACTTATTTACGATGGAGAGAGGGTCCAAAATGATATATAATTACAAATGGAACCAGTTTTCTGCGAATGTGACAAGTAAGGAATGGGGTCAAGTAGAGGACACTTGGATGGGGCTTGAGGGTTTCCAGGGCAGGGCTGGGATGGGACACCCTGCTTCTCATCTGAGGAAGGACCCAGGGGGACACAGGTGGAGAGGACGCTGGGGCTGGACTGAGACAGAGGCCACTCCTGGGGCACACTCGGGGACCCATCTCCAGAGCCTGGGTCTCTGTCTCTCTTTTCTCCAGCTCTGACACAGACACCTGACAGCCACATCCATGGAACCCTAGAATTTGAGCACCACAAGAACATGACCTGTATGATGCCATGGGCCTGTGAGAGAGGGACGCCCCCCACCTTCTCTTGGATTAGGGTCAACCTCACCTCCCTGGGTCCCAGAATTCCTTACTCCTCAGTGGTCACCCTCACTCTGGAGCCCCAGGACCAGGACCATGACACCAACCTCACCTGTCTAGTGACATTCCCTGGTATGAGCACCAAGAGGACCAACCAGCTCAATGTGACCTGTGAGTGTCCTGCCAGGAAACCAAGTCCCTGAGGGCAGTGGGTGTCATGGAGAAGCAGGCAAGGCCTGGGTTAGTGGGTGCTGGGCCCTGCAATTTAGGACTGGGGAGGAAGGTAAAAGAAAACCCAATTTCACCCTGTTCTTATTTCTAAAGTTTCTGGGAGGGGGAAGGCCAACAGCCTCCTTCTTTCTACTGAAAAGGAAATAATTTTTTATGTCGTTCTGTACAGATGCACTCCAGAACCTGACCATCAGCGTGCTCTGGAAAGAAGGCACAGGTAGGGTATAACAGCTTTTCTCCAGGGATGTGCTGGAAGTGGGGTCTGCCTCCACACTTCAGAGCAGAGCTGGGGTTTCAGAAATAAGATGGGAGAAAGGCTCAGGCCTGGTGTGAGGACAGCAGACATTGGATGCCCTCCACTCACCCTTCCTCTGATTAAAAATTGGCCTACCACCACCCCTGACCTTGCTGTCACAGGGAATTGCATGTCCCCCATGGCTCACGACAAATCATGGCAGCTCATGCCGGCTGCCGGCCGCTCACGCTGGCTGCTGGCCAATCATGGTAGCTCTCGGCAGCCCACCACAGCCCCATTGCCGCCTACACCATCGTCAGTGACTCACGACTTCCCAGCCCCTAGTAGAGCTGTTATTCATGATCTTAGCTGTAGAGAGCACAGTGCATTGGCCCATGTGGGATCCGAACTAGTGGCCCTATTCCTCAGAGCCAGTGCTCTTAAGCTAACTCTTAACCAACATGGCCAATTGGCCGGCCCCTATGCCCATTTTTTAATTGGGTGATTGGCTTTGTGTTGTTTAGTTGTAAAAATTCTTTATATATGCTGGATATTAATCCTTATGAGATCTATGATTAGCAAAAATTTCCCCCCTTATATGGGTTGGCTTTTCACTGTCTGCCTAGCATCAATTGATAAACAGGATGTTTCATTTGATGAGATCCAACTTGTGCATTTTTTTCTAAGCCCAACTGCTGAAAGGTCAGAGCATGGGGTGGGGTGAGGGCATGGGTGGTCCCACAACCAGTGCTGCAGAAAGGCCCAAAGGAGAATGTCCAGAGCCCTACTAGGAGAGAAAGACACAGGACTTCAGTTGACCAGGTGAATCTGTGTTTGTCTCTAGTTCCTACAGGGAAATCAGGGTCCAGGGCAGAGATGATGCTGGTGGCCATGTTGTGGGACATGTGGCTCTGTGACAGCACAGGGAGGCATGGGAGGGGGCTGCTGGGAGGGTGATCTCTCATGGACAACCCATATGAGGACTTGAAGGAAATACAGGAATCTGGGAGCCTCGTAGGAGAGCAGAAATATGACAGAGCATCCCTTGTAGCAGCATCCCCATGGCTGCTCTGATCACAATAGGCCAGAGTGTGTCCACGGCTACAAAACAGAGAGGGCATGGAGGGCAGGAGGTGATGGCGGTTGAACCAGGGAGGCGCAGGGGAGGCTGAGTTTATACTTTTGCATATATTTTGAAGGTCAAGTTGACTGAATTTATATTGGATGTGGGGATTGAAGGAAAGAGAAGAGCAGGGACGGTGCCCAGATGTTTCTCCCGAGCACCTGGGAAGATGGGGACGGGTTTCATGGATGCAGACAGATTGGTTTGGAGGGTGATGTTCTTTCTGAGGAACGACTTGATACTGACTGGGGCTACCAGTGAGAGAGCTGGATATGAGGAGAGGGGTCCAGACTGGAGACGTGAACATGCACAGCCAGTGTAGGTGATGACGCCTGATGAAGTCAGAATAGGTCTGATGGCACATGGAGGAGAGAAGGCACAGGCAATACGTTGTCTCTGGTGATCCTGACAACAGTGATTTCATGGTTCGTGGGAAAGGTGTGAAGATGTGATCGAGCTGATTAGAGAGAGACTTAAGTAGGGGATGGGAAGGGTGGTTACAGATGAGCCTGTGAGGAATTTGGCTGCAAATAGGGACAGAGGAATGGGTCTGGTGAAGGAGGACTTTCTCTCGTGCTTCTCTGCATCACCCCAGCGGGGCTCACTGAATCCTCACCTGTACTGATTTCCTGGGGCCACTGTAACAAATGAACACACACTCAGTGTCTTGAAAAAAGGAAATTTATTTTCTCAGATCTTGGGCCAGAAATCTGTGCGGGGGTGGAAAAATATCTTCTCCCTCTGCCCTTCCACATTCCCAACTGAGACCCTTGCAACAAAGAAAGATTAAGCGCCACATCTTGCAGTAATGTGTCCTGAGCTCCATGCTCTGAAATCAGTTTTTCTGGCATTAGTCAGCGTGTTGGTTGGGATGCCCTCACTCCAGAATCCATATCTTTCTTCCTCTAGTTGATGTGGCTGCCGGCTCTCCCTGGCTTGTGGCTGCATGACTGCTCTGTCTCTGTGGTCACATTGCCTCATCCTGCTCTGTGTACAGTCCTTAAAGGACACTTGTCACTAGATTCAGGAGCCAATATTCATAGTCTACAATGATCTCTACATCAAGATCTTTCCCTTAATCTCATCTGTACACCCCCCTTTTCCTTATCAGGGAACATTTGCAGGTACCAAGGACTAAGACCTGATTATCTTTGGGTGGCCATTATTCAGCCCACTGACTGATCATGTGATCTTTTGCCCCTCTGAATGTCCCCATCTGGCTTCCAGACCTTGTTTATTCTGCTTTTCCATGTCCAGATAATTATTGGGTCCCTCATGAGTGACATATGTTTTAGGGAACAGTAGCCTACTGTTTTGTGAAAGCCATTATTAAGATAGCTACAAGAAAATATTAAAACTGGGGGCAACTATCAGCAAATATACACTTGATGAATGACTTGTATAAAAATATACAGAACTCTCAAACAAAAAAGTAAGTAAACAAACAAGGAAATGAAATCAATTGTTTAAGAAAAAATAATCTCACTCAACAACAAAAACCAAAGAGCCCTATTTAAAAATTGGCAAAGGACATTTACTAGACATTTCCCTGAACTTATACAAAAGGAAAATACACATGAGAATATGGTCAACGTAACTAATATTAGAGAAATGCAAATACAGCCATTCTTTGAGGTTCCCCCAACCATTATTTTATAAAATAGTTATTATATAAAAAAATACTAAAACAGGAAATAAGAAGTGTTGGTGACATTGTGAAGGAAGTAGAACTCTATGCTTTGCTGTTAAGGTTATAAAACTGTGCATCTTCTTCAAGGTCCCTCAAAACATTAAAAGTAGAACTACTACATGATCCACTAATTTCACTTCTGGGTATATACCCCAGAAAATAGAAAGCAGTAACTTGAATAGGTATTTATACATCTCTGTTCATAACAGCATGATTCACAATAACTAGAAGATAATTGCAACATAAGGGCCCATCAACAGAGGAACGGAAGGACTAAATGTACTGAACACGTACAATGGAATATTATTCAGCCTTAAAAAGAAAGCGAAATCTGACATGTTACAATATGAATTGAAGACGCTATGTGAAGTGCAATAAGCCAGTCAGAAAAGGACAAATACTGTAGGATTCCACTTACATGAAGTCACTAGAGGAGGCAAATTATTTGACACTAAAATTAGAATCGTGGTTTCCTAGGTCTGGCCAAATAGGATGCACAGTTTTTATTTTCATGGGCACAAAATTGCAGTTTGGGAAAAATGAATAAAATCCTTGAGAAGGATGGTGGTGACAGTCGCACACCAATGCAACTGCACAGAACACCACAGACCCAGACAATTACAAATGGTTAAAATGGTAACGTTTTTATTATGTATATTATACCATAATAATAATTAAAAAATGAGGCCAAGGATTTAATCAGCAAATTCACCAAAGAAGAAAAATAATGGTAGCTGAGCACATGAAAACATGCTCCACACCACTTCTTAGGACATTATAGATTGAAACCACGATGACATACAATGGAATACTACTTAGTAACAAGACATTACAAACTACAGATACATACAACTGGGATCAACTTCCAAAGTATTGTGGTGAGTGAGAGAATATAGACACAGATGAGTACATGTCTCGAACTTCTCCTATAGGCCAAATTAATTCACCATGATGGAGAGTATATTAGTGCTTATCTGGGGCTAGAGGTGGGTGTGATGAACTACAAAGATGTGGGGAAAGCTCTTTGGGGTGGTGGAAATCTTTTATATCCTGATTGTGGATGTCTACATTTGTTAAAATTCACAGAAATGCATATTTCAAGTGGGTACATTTTATTTTATGTAAATTATAAAGTTCTAGAAAGAAACACAGTGAGAAGCCACAGAAGCTTCCCATCTATGAACATGGTATAACTTTCTTTGCTCTACATCCAACTGTGTTGGGCCTTCTATTATGTGTTACATTCTTACTTTTTATTTTTAACAACCTAGAAGAAAATATCGTTTTGCTTATGGGCGATTAATTTCCTTATACATCAAATAAGGGCTGAAATCTCTCTATGTTAATAGGACTGAAGGACCATATATCTAAACACTAGTGTGTTTGAAAGATTTTACAAATACATCATGGCAAATACTTTTATGTCACTGGGGTCAAGAATTTGTCAGTGACACACAAAGAGTGATATGGAAAACCACGTTAGCTGAACCTAAAGTTTTTTGTGTGTTTGTTTGTTTTAGCTGAGCCATCCTGCTACCTGTTGGCAGCTCAGCGGCTGCTCAGCTCGGGCCAGGACTCGAACTGCTGTTGCTCAGAGCTCAAACTCTTGAGCGAGCTCTTAACCAACTGAGCTGCTCGGCCGGCCCTGAACCTAAAGTTTTCATTGTTGCTACATATTCCACTTAGGTTTTCCAGAAATATTATATTTTTGAGCTACATGTAACAATGAGAAGCAGATTTTTTCAACAACACTTACTTATTTTTACTTTGTGTAGAAATTAGACCCTTCATAGTCCCAGAAAGGATTTGAGGTGACTTACAATTTTATAGCACTTCCAAGGTACCAATTTTTTTAAGGCAGAACTGAAATCACCTAGGAAAAATGACATATTGTACAAGAAATCTAGAATGAACCTGTTTCTGAAATGATGTACTAAATATAACCCTGAGATTCCTAGCAGCCAATGCAATAAGGGAAATGTGAAATATCATTTTCTGTTAAAGGCAAGTATGTAGTTTACTTGAAAAGGCAAATATCTTATTGCTAATGGCTGGGAGAAACATATTCTGTATGGAAACCACATTGCATAACATAATGAGAAATGACTTTAAGGCATTTTTCTATCCACAACTTTGATGTTGAGCAAGTACTTCGAGATTTTGAGGCACATGTTTCACATGACAGGATATGCTAATCTGTGTGATGAGGAAGTAAACCCGTTTCTCCAGTTCAAACAGCACTGAATCGTGGGAATCACAGAAAAAGCTTCCTGTGCACTGGCTCACAGAACATGTGTTCTCTCTTTGTTTTACATGAAGAAGGCACACCATTTTATTTTAGACATGCCATTGAAATGTCACAAATCAGTATATTAAATGTAAAAGCAAAACTCACTGATAATTTTAGAAATTACCCAGTATGCTAGCAGATTATATGGCAAACTCACCAGTGACTGAAGTTCTAAAGCCTGGCAGTTGCATGTGTTTGGGAAGGAAGTGACATCACTGAATGGGGAGCATGTCACTGGCATAGACCAGGTCCGTCGTATCCCTCCTTGTGTCAAACCAACCAACACTTAGATGCTCACTGAGTGTTTAGTGGATGGGTGGATGCTGCCTTCACTTCACCTGGGACCTTCTTATTTCTTCTGACCCAGATGCTCACACAAATGCTAAAATCCTACACTTCACAGGATGAATAACCTGAGGGTCTGGATGAGACTGTGACCCTCCAGGTCAAAGCAGCGGTTGACTGGCTTTCTGGTGTAGACAACACTGCTCAGAATAGCCCTTCAGATGGGAGGACCTTAGGTGACTCACATGTCCTCAGAGGTCCTGGTCCTTCTCTGGTGCTGGAGGGAAGCCCCCGTGAGGGTCAGGACCTGAGTCCTGCCCCCTGTCTGCTCCTCTCTGGGTGGGTCTCTGGGTCTCTGGTCTGTGGGGTGTCCACCCTCAGTGCTTAGGGGGAACGAGTTTCATCTCCGAGGTTCCTCTTCTGTGAATGGGGAGGCCCCATGCTCCGCCCCAGTTTCTGTGGTTTCTCCCAGCCCCATAGCACTGCCTTCCTTCTCTTTTCTCCCACAAGAGCCCAGAAACCCTCCGTGTCAGAGATGCTGCCGCTGCTGCTGCCCCTGCTGTGGGCAGGTGAGTGGACGAGGGGAGGGGTGGTGGGGTGGGAGCTCTGCTGACCCTCCTTTCCCCACAGGTTCCCTTGCTCAGGATGAAGGATACCAGCTGACAGTGCAGGAGTCTGTGACGGTGCAGGAGGGCCTGTGTGTCTTCGTGCCCTGCAGTGTCACCTATCCCCGGTCATCTAATCCCTACTGGTCAAGGTTTGACCTGGCTCACGGGTCCTGGCTCCGGGAAGGGGCCAATGAAAAGCAAGGTGCTGCCGTGGCCACAAACAAGCCAGGTCGCAAAGTTCAGGAGGAGACTCAGGGACGATTCTACCTCCTCGGAAACTCTCAGACCTATAACTGCTCCCTGGACATCAGAGACGCCAGGAGGAGCGATGATGGAAAATACTTTTTTCGGCTCGAGAGAGGGCAAGTCAAGTCATGGAATTACAAATCTAACTTGATCTTCGTGCATGTGACGCGTAAGGAATGCACCCCAGGATAGGCCACAGCAGAACAGCAAGGGGGTCAGGATAGGGCGGGGAGGGAACCCCCTCCTGGGAGGTGCTGGGGGTCCAGCGGGTCTGGTCAGAGGGAGGAGCTGGACCAAAGCCTGGGGCTTCTCTCAGGGCCACACCTGGACCCTCCCTCCTGAACTCATGTCTCCCCCTCTCACCAGCCCTGTCCCATACACCCCACATCCACATTCCGGGCACCCTGGAGGCTGGCCTCCCAAGAAACCTTACCTGCTCTGTGCCCTGGGCCTGTGAGCGGGGCACGCCCCCCATCTTCTCCTGGACTTCAGCTGCCCTCACCTCCCTGGGCCCCAGGACCCTCCTCTCCTCTGTGATCACTCTCACCCCTCAGCCCCAGGACCACGGCACTAACCTCACCTGTCAGGTGAAGTTCCCTGCAGCTGGTGTGAATGTGGAGACAACCATCCAACTCAACGTCACCTGTGAGTGCTGGGCCAGGAAGCTTGGGTTTCTGAAGGAGGAGTTGGGGGGCCAGAGGGTTTGGTGGGAACATTTGGTGCTTTTGTTCTGGAGGCCTGGCTGAGTAGGGAACCCAGAGGACACAGGGGTTGTCTCTTCTTCATTTCTGTGGTTCTGGGTGTGTGGAGGGTGGTGTCTACATGAACCTAACCCCATATCTCCCCACTAATGAGGGAACTCCTGTCTTCATGTCCTAGGTGCCCCACAGAACCCCAAAATTGGTGTCTGCCTAGGAGACGCCTCAGGTACAAAGAAGCCTTCTGTCCATGTGACTCTGACTGAAGGGGGGTGGGCTCTGCCAAGTGGATTCAGAGATAAATTTTCAGAGTTCAAATGGTGAGGGTGGGGCCTGATACACAAGAGGCCCCTATCTGGCATCTTCCCCCATATTCTTCTTCTGCTCTTCTGCAAGGGTGACCCCCACACCCTCTCCTCCCTGCCCATCTTAAACGATGCTCTTTATCTTCCTCCTGTCATAAAAGCTTTTGGGAATTTTCAAGTAGGTTTTATTTTTTTAGAGCAGTTTTAGGTAGAGTAAAATTGAGCAGAAGGTAGAGAGATGTCCCCTATACCTACTGCACCCTCCCTCACATGCACTTCCGCCCCACTGTCACCACCCCTCACCAGAGGGGACATTTATTACAATTGATGAACCTACAGTTACATGTCCATTCTCACCCAAACCTGTAATTTATGTTAGGATTCACTCTTAGTGTTGGACACTCTGTGGGTTATCAAGCAGTAGTTTCACAGCTCCAAAAGTCTCTTTGGTTTTTTTTTTAAAGATTATATTGGAGAATTGAGGAAGAGAACAGTTTTGGGGAATTGGGGAAGGGGAACATTGTGTTTTTCCAGGACCCATCATCCCCAAGTCAAGTTTTTGTCCTCCAATCTTAGTTGTGAAGACACAAGCTCAGCTCCAAGTCCAGTTGCATCATTCAATCTAGTTGCGGAGGTGGTGGGTGGGCGGCGCAGCCCACCATTCCATGCGGGAGTCAAACCAGAAACCTTGTTGCTATGAACACATGTTCTTACCAGCTCAGGGGTAGCTCAGCTTGAGCACAACTCACTGGCCTATGTGGGAATTAAACTGGCGACCCTGTTGCTCAGAGCTCGCTCTCTCAACCAACTGCACCACCTGGCCGGCCCTCTTTGGGCTGATTTTGACTGTCAATCTCCCCGGCCCTCCCCCTGAACTGCCTGTGGAGCCCAGACCTCCTCCCATTGCCCTATTCCATTGGTGACTGCATTTGGTTCCTGCCTGTCCCCCCCATTAGACAGTGACCTTGTTAGGGCTCCCTCAGCAGTGCCCATCAGACTGCTGACAAGTGATGCCCAGAGACACATCCCTGACTCCAGTTGTTGTGCTCCCGGGAAACATGGCCAGACAGGACCAGGAGAGCTGTCTGGGTCTCATCTGAAGGGCTGAGAACCTCCCCATTTTCACTCCCCTCTGGGGCACAAATGGCCACATTTGATCCTGAGTGACCAGGCTGGCGGAGGCCAGGAGAGGAGATTCCGACTCTCTCCCAGGAAGGGAGGAGGGACGAGGCCTTTCAGCATCTCACATGGTGTGTGTGTGTGTGTGTGTGTGTGTGTGTGTGTGTGTGT